CCTGCCATGGTGGTCATGGACTCTAACCTGAAACTGTCAGCCCGTAACAAACTTTTTCTTCGAAAGTTGCTTTGGTCAAGGTGGCTTAACACAGCAACAGAAATGTAAGTAAGACAAACAGACTTTGTTTTTTTTTTTGCCTAGGTGAGACCCATCAGTCTTTGCAATATGTAGACAGCATTATTCTGAACAGTCCTTAGAAGAGCAAAGTGCTTTTATTCTAGCAGAGTAATGCTCTGCTCCAGAGAGGTTATACCTTAACACAAAATGGTATTAGTTTTAACATCTGATGAACAAGACCATAAAAGTTCCTTCCACGTATTCAATAGTAATTGGTTATGTTCCAGCACTATGACAAAAGCTAGGGACAGAAAATTGAATACATCATTCCTAACTTCAAAGAACTAAGAGTCAAAGGAGTATAATAAAAATAAAGTTAATTTCCAAACAGCAGCATCCATTCCATGACAGATGGGCACATGGAACTATGGGAGCAGGGAAGCACTTGTCAACATTATGGGACACAGACATCAGATGATGTTTAAACTGGAACTGGATACGAGACAGACTCTCACTTGGCAGTGGGACCCACATGTGAGAGGTCCAGAAGACAACAGGTTAGGGGAGGTGTAAGTAGTTTCAAAAAGACTGGAGCAAACCATGGGCAGAAGACAACAGCATGTAAAGATATCAGAGCTTGAAGGCTCTGGATTCCAAGCTTATTTGGCTTTTTCTTCAATGCTATTTTTCACAGATTCACTTAGAAAGATCATTCAGGTGGTAAAGAAAACACTCCATTAGAGAAGTGGAGAACACTAGAAAAGGAAAAAAAAAATTGAAAAACTCTTTGAAAAAAAAAAAAACAGGAAAAAAACAAAAACAAACAAACAAAAAAACTCGCCTACTGTCAAAGTTCGAATCAGCAACAACCTGAAGGCTTTCCAAAGAGGATCCATCATTGACATGCAGGAACAGAACTTCCTTCTGGGATCTGACTGAACGGATCCATCCCTGGAAAGAAGCATTTTTAAATGTGAGCTTAAAAATCAAACACTTTTACACTTTCATTACACATTCGAAAAAGATTAAATGAAAGAAAAAATGTTCACAATATTGCCTCAACATGTCAAATGCATAAAATGAACTGCCTTAGGCTTATCTGGATGTGTATAGTTTCAAATGGCTCTTATCACAGTTAGATGCATATTTAGTGGTCCACCTTTGTTTTAGCTCATTTTAAATGGATGCCAAGCATTTCATTAAGTTGATGAGCCTGATTAGCATAAACAATGTCCTTAATATTGGTTTCTCAAAGCTATTCCTTGCTCCTCAATCACAAAAAAAAAAGAAAGAAAGAAAGAAAAAGATTACAAGTTGGTGCCTTTCTCCTTGTGTCCAATTCCCAGAGAGATCATTAGACTAGAAACATCATATGAGATTTTGTTCTATTTACAAAGTATTATACAAAAAAAAAGTTACCTTAAAAAAAAAAGCCTCATAAAGCTAAACATGTATATACCTGTGATCCCAGCACTTGGGAAGCTAAGACAGGAGGATCCCAAGTTTGAGGCCAACTTCAATTACTTAGCTAGTCTGTGTCAAAAAAAAAAAAAAGTGTAATGAATAAATACATGAAAATGTCACCAAGAAATCTATTTCTCTTTTTGAATTTTTGTGGGGTTTTATTAGGCTAAAATGATGTGTGTGTGTCTGAATATGCCATGTGTATAGGGATGCCAGGAGAAGGGGTTGGATCTCCTAGAACTGGAGTTACACACAGGTAGGAGCAGCCTGATGTGGCTCCCGGGAATCGAACTCTTGTCCCCTTGAAAAGCAGTAAGTACTCTTAACCACCGAGCCGTCTCTCCAGCCCCAGAAACCCATTTCTTTGTATGTTAACCAATAAATAAAAATTTTGGAAATAGTATTATAAAAAACAGCCTCTTAAGCATTTTCCAAATGTGATTTTTTTTTTTTTTCTGCAGCAAAGACTGGGTATTATCTGCTCTGCAGCAGGAACAGAAACTAACACTGAACAAGTAAAAACACGTGATAAAAAGAAAAGTCATGAACATATAGCCACACATAAGTTTCAAAGACAGTCTTTACCTAAAGGACAGGTACATGCAAGTACAAATGAGAAGTCTTCAAGTAGACCTCCTAACATTAATAACAGCTACACACTCAACTTGAATATAACCAGCATAGGTGTTACCAGAGAACACCGTTTTCAAAGGCACTCAAAGATACATTCGATCTCTGAGTTGCATTCCCTGGAGCTGGACTTACAGGTGGATGTGAGCCTCCTGATTCAGTTTCTGCCAATGAACTTGGCTGCTGTGGGGAAAAAAACCTCTGGTTCTTTAGAAGGGTGGCAAGTGCTCATAAGTGCTGAGCCATCTCTCCAATGTACATGTTTTAAGTGAAAGGATATCCACTGCCTATTGAACATGTATTATGTTTTAAAAAAAGTTTACCTCTTTCATATACTGCGTCATTTCTTATCATACCTCCTTTACACACAAGTAAATGGCGGCTCCGGGATGTCATATAACTTACTGAAAGTCACACTGCTGATGAACTAGTATCCAAATCTGAACCCAAGACTATGTAACTAGAAAGTCTTTGGCCAAAACTATACAGCATGGAGTGTAAACCACTTCAGCTCCATGTACAAGGCAATTCATCTCACCGTATGTCCAAAGACATCCACATTTGTTTATTCCTGGTTAATAGTAATTTCCAAAGCTCCACTCTCTTATTTTTACTTACTGGAGAGTTAACAGCAAGCACTTTTAATGTGCTTCTGTCCTAAATTCTTTGTAAGTATTATGCTATTGACTCCTTACAGGAGCTAAATAAAGTCATTATTATCACTTGTGAAGTGAACATACACTTAGGAAAAAATTTAAAAGTTAATCCAGGCCATAATTATCAGGTATTACACTTGGAATTCAAATATGGTTATTATTCTGAAGTTCACATACTTATCAACAAGCTTTTCTGGAGTGCTATTTTCTCCTCATCTTCTGCCTGGGAACATATCCTGCTGCTATTTCTACCCCATCAGTTATTGGACCTGGGGATGCCATCCTCCAAGACAGCCAATATGCAGGTGACATCTTGACCTCCACGCAGTTCAGGAACTCCCTCGCTGTTTTCTGATAGCTCTTTATCTCCACCACTAATAATCAGTGCACTGCTGTAAACTAGGGCTAACAAAAATATAATGTGAATTACCTAATTAAAAAAAATTAGGATCAGAGAGATGGCTCCAAGGTTAAGAACACTTCCTGCTCTTGCAGAGGACTCAAATTTGGTTCCTAGTACCATCTGGGGAAGCTCACAGCTGCTTATAACTCCAGCTCCGGGGGATTCTGACACCTGTATGGCTCTCCACAGGTACTCCTATGTACATGGCATAAACTCATGCAGACATATATACATAAATACAAAATAAACCTTTAAAAAGATTTGTTCTACATTAAAAGCAAATTTAGGTAATGAGTAACATGTTATTCAACCAATTATGCTCCAAATACTATTCACATGTAATGAATATAAAAGTATGTTCAGATTTTGATGTTTCTTTACTCTTCAAAGTTGCTGTGTATTGTACACGTACTGCAGTCTCCGTGCACTTGGACCCTATTTTCAGGTGCTCGGCGGCCAGCAGGTTCACTGCTAAGCACGGAAGTGAAAGAAAAGCCTGTTACTTGGGCAGTAGGTTCAATTCGTTTTTGAATCTTCTTTTGATCATCACACAAAAGACATCATTAATGCATGCCACATTAATCGATGAGTACAGTAAACAGCTTTGATAACTTTGATTCAGATCATGGAACAAGTGTGAAGCCGAAATAAGTGCAAGGAAGAGCAGCTTGATCATACTGCTAAACATCAAGATTATAGGAGAGACCACTCAGTGTGTTTCAGCAGTTCAAGAAGAAAGAGCCAACCACCAGGCTTATTCTGTCCCTTTAAGGAGCTAGTCAAAGCTGCTGTGAATGCTATTAGGAGAAATAACAGCAGCTAACACTGACCGGGAGGTCTCTGTTCTAAATCGCCGGTACCCATTATCAAGTTTAATTTTCAGAGCTCTCGGAAATAGAAGCTACTATTATCTCCATTTCCCCATAACTAACAAGATACTTAGGGCAGGCGACTTAAGTCAAGGCAACTGCAGCCCTTGTAGTTTGTCAAACTACAATATTCCACTCTTTCTCCTAGTTTATTAATTACATAGAAGCCTCAGATTAAGAGTCAAGGTAGCTAAAAGCCGAAAAGGCATGGGTTCCCATGTGCTCAAGGACCACATGAGCTGTAACTCAGGATGGGTATGAGTGCAGCCCAAGACAAAACGGTAAACTTTGAGACCTTTTTAATTGGGGGTGGGTGGTGTCGATGGGTCAACTATGAACTTGGTAGGTGACAACATCGTGATGCAATGTCAGATGGTTGACACACCTGGAACTACTATTTCCTGCCAGCCAGGTGAACAGGAAAACGGGAAGACAGGATTTCTGCTCTCAAAGAACTAGGGCAAGACATTCCACGCTATTAAGAGATAAAGGTAGAGCAAGGGGGCGTGTTCGCTTAAACTTTCCTGCATGATTGACAAGTTTACAGGTAACGGCTCGGTGTCATGGAAAACTCTGCTGCCGCACTCCTAATCGACAGAACGATTTGCAAAAAGTAACAGTACGGTGGCCGAGAAGCGTGGACACTCGCGATGCCTTCATTTCCAACTTTGCCCACGCTTGGTCCGAGAGGCCCGCGCGGAGGAAAGCTAGTCGTGGCCGGGCCAAGCAAGCTCCAGCAGCTTTGCACACACCCACCTGCACCGTTACACACTCCCCACTCGCGTCCTGGACCCCGAGGGCGTCCCGCACGCGCAGTTTGGCGGATGCGCGGGGCCTGGGGCAGGAAACGGAGGAGCAGAGACGCAGCGCGCCCAGCAGGCGCCGGGCCCCGAGCATGGTGTGGCCGGCCGGGTCGTGGCTCGCAGTCTGCTGGGGCAGCCCTCTTCACTCGCGCAGTCCTGCCGTCAGGTGCTCCTTCTGAGCCCCGGGCCGTCCCTTCAGGACCTCTCCTCAGCGTCCTGCTCCCGAAAGCCCGGAAGGTTCAACGCTCAAGAAACACAGTACAGATCTATGCGCTACGGTGCAGGTGCTACCTGAGCGAACCCCTGGAGTTACAGCACGCTGCAACTGGGCTACGTCACCGCATGCGCGCTCTTACGTCGTCACGCTAGGTGGGGTCTGAGGCTGAGCATGCGTGATTGTGTTTTGGAGCTTGCACGCCCGCCAAGGGGCAGGGTTTGGGTGGTGGCAGGAACCAACGTGGGCGGGGCTAAGGCACAAGACTTTCCGAGGTGTCTCAGAAATAGCTAGGAAGCTCCCTCTTTGGGGTCATCCAAGCGTTCCTTTTTATAAAGCTGCGGGGGATGGGGGGTGACTGAGGAACACTGAGGGGCTGGATTGACAGATGCAGAAGGCAAGTGTCCAGAGTCTGGGGTGTGGAGAGGAGTTCTGAGCAGGGGAAGTCAGACTCAAGACCTAGTACCTGCTGAAGTCACCATTGTGTGATATCAGATATCAAAACACACCATTGCTTAAAAAGAAGAGACTGAAGCGTTACCTATCAGAATCTTTAAGTCTTTCTCTTCTTTTACTTGAATTTGTTTGACCTGAAAACAATGACCTTTTCATATATCCAGCTGTATTTTAAGTTTACACAAAATTAAATTTTTCATAACTCAGCGAAAAGTATGATAATGCTTTTATTTAGTTAAACAATAAGAGGTCAAGATAAGGACGAATTAAAGTTGCCACTGCTGTTATGCCCATTTTACAGATAACAGGAACAGGATGACTAGTTTAATACAAGTGTCAGATTTAAACCCAGAAACTCTGGCTCTATGCACTAAACTATTGGACTATACAGTGTCTTGCGATGGAAAAGAAAACCTAGTCCTGTCCTTCAAGGAGGTCATGATCTAAGGATGATGAATCACACACACACACACACACACACACACACACACACAGAGAGAGAGAGAGAGAGAGAGAGAGAGAGAGAGAGAGAGAGGTCATTACAGTATAAACCAGCAAGCACACACATAGACATGTTTGTGGCAAGCAGAGTGGCAGCCCCAAGAAAGAGATTATAAGGCTGAGTTTTGAGGAAGGTTAGAAATGACATTCTCATTTGTCAGATGAGAATGCCAGAAGCTGCTGGGAGGACAAATGGCCTGAAAGAATTGTAAAATTCTTCTCTAGATAAACTTGAAAATATCTCCAGTAAAAATACTTTTGGGCACTTCTAGAACCTTGAGAAAGGAAAAAATAGAAACTTGTAGCCTTCCACATTATGTAGATACAGCTTTTATCTTTTTTTGTTTGTTTTTCAAGACAGGGTTTCTCTGTGTAGCTTTGGAACCTGTCCTGGATCTCGCTCTGTAGCTCAGGCTGGCCTCAAACTCACAGAGATCTGCCTGGCTCTGCCTCCTGAGTGCTGGGATTAAAGGCATGCGCCACCGCCGCCGCCGCCCAGCTTAGCTTTTATCCTAAAGCATAAATGTATATTGGATATCCCTCCCCCCCCTTCGCTCCAAAATAAAAAAAGCAAAACCAGCAACCAGCTGTTGTGGGATATGTGTACTGAAGACATATTGCTGTGATTGGTTTAATAAAGAGCTGAATGGCCAAGAGCTAGGCAGGAGGTATAGGTGGGACTTCTGGGTAGAGAGAGGAAGTAGGAGGAGATAATCAAGGTACAGAGGAGATGGCAACAGACATACAGAATGAAGGAAAGGTAGAAAGCCACATGGTAAAAATTAGATTAAGAAAAAAGGGTTAATTTAAGTTCTAAGATTCTAAGAGCTAGTGGAACAAGCTAAGGACGAGCTGTCATAATTAATAAAGAGTCTCTGTCATATTTTGGGAGCTGGCTGGAGGAACAGAGTAAGACTCCTTACAACCAGCCAGCTCATTTTCTCTTCAGGTCATTTTTCTGTCTTACCTTCTTCCTTCCTCCTCTTTATTCTGCTGGATTTTAAGACCTCTAGTCTGTGTCTCAGGGAGACTGTCTTCCTTTATTTAAGCCAGAGTAATTCGAAATTCACTTAGTTATGAAATTGTAAGCAGAGGGCCATTGCTCAGTATCCCAAAGAAAAGGAAACCCAGTGGGTAAAATGGAAAATTAGCAATGGTTAATCAACTGTACAGTGAAAGTTGATCCTACCTGCATGCCTCGTGCTGAGATCAAACCACTCCCTGTATCTTTTACTGTATCAAATCATATCGTCTTCTAGTCTGATTTGTCTTCAGTGTTTGGATTCACACTCTGTCTTAGGTTCATCGCCTTCCAGATAGTAATAAAAATGACACGTCTAACGTGACTATCGTACCATGTCATCATAACGATGGGTAGAGTGTTATAGAATGACTCTCATATGCCAAGAACACTTCTTGTATTAACTCCAGCATCACAATAGCCCCTGCCCTCCCCAAGATAAGAAGGAACTAAAGCTTAGAGAGCTTTTGTAATATACACCAAGTTACTTACCAATCTTGTTCCAGCCCATGCTCTTACTCATTTTGTTACTCTAGTGAGTAAACAGCCATGAATTGGTCCCCCTACAATATATGAAGCCTTGTCATCTCTATCATCATGTCTACTAGACCTTCTCTGACCCACAAAGTTTGCTGAGGTGGCCTAGAGTGGGAAACCGAAATGAAGCAACGGTGTTGCTAACCTCTGATACTTTGGATCTGTGCAGTGAATGGTGTCAGTGTTATTCCCCAGCTCTAGGAACTTATTTTTTTTTTAAGTAAAAAAAAATATTTTCCATGTATGATTGTTTTGCCTTCTTGTATATCTGTGTGCCACATGTATGCCTAGTGTCCACAGAGGCCAGAATAGGGTATTGTATCGTCCGGAACTGGAGTTATAGACAGTTATGAGCTGTCATTTGAGAGCTGGGAATGGAACCCAGGTCCTCCAGAAGAGCAGCTAGTACTCTTCACCACCAAGCCCTCTCTCCAGCCCCTCTGGGAAGGTTTTAACAAGGTTCTACACAACACATTTTAGCTAACTTAAGTCAGAAACTTCTTACAATTCTTTCTTTTGCTCAAAGCTGGCATTTACTTATGTTTGTAATGTATTCTTTTTATTTTTTCATTTTTTCTTTTTTTCCAAGACAAGGTTTCTCTGTGTAGTTTTGGTGCTTGTCCTGGATCTCGCTCTGTAGCCCAGCCTCAAACTCACAGAGATCTGCCTGGCTCTGCCTCCCGAGTGCTGGGGTTAAAGGCGTGCACCACCCCTGCCCGGCTATGTATTCTTTTTCTCAAAGAGAATACTCCAAATTAAGAAAGCTCAGGTCTCATGAAACTAGATATGACTTTGATTTAAAAAGATACTTCAATAAATATACTGGACACTTTGAAATGATCATCTCTATGTTATAGCCTAAAGCATATTCATGTTGAACTTCACAAGGCCCAGGCAAATTGTTTTCTGAGTTGATGATCTAGTTTACATGCTCTCAGACATACTATGGAAGTTCCCAAAGTTACCTTCAGTGACAATGACTATAATTAGATTTCCTAATTTTTACCAGGAGGGAAGAGTGTATTGGTGTTTCAGAAGTTTGGTTCTCTTCTTCCTGTTCATCAAAATTCCATTTCAATGTAATCCCCCCCCCTTTTTTCCAGTATCATAGAGAACAAAACCATGAGCCTGGCAATCAGAAGTCCTTGCTTAAGTCTGTATGACCCGTGATGGAACTTTCAGGAAGTCACTTGAACTCTGAGTTTGGAGAGTTGGAGATGAGAGAGGGAGGTGTTAGTGAGTGTGTGTGTGGTGGCGGGGTAGTCTCACCGACTCACTGAGCTAGATTTGGGTGGACTGTTTGCTTTGTTCACGGTGCCCCATCTGAGGTGAACATCACCATAGAAAACGTAACATACTTATAGTCAGTTTGAATGCATTAATTATAAACTCAGAGTCACCAATAATGCGTGCGTACCACGTTAAGGAAAGGACATTACCGAGGCACTGCCGTGGTATAATTTAACGGAGATTTGAATTGCCTGCTTCCCTGTGTCTTCCCTCGGTCCTGTCTGTCTGAATCTGTGCCTATTGAAGACTGTCTTATGACTCTGTCCACCTGTGTGTGTGTGTCCCTAACAAAGAGCTTTGCTCCGTATTTGCTGAAAAGCACAGGAAGTGTCACATGGAGAAGAAATGAGGGATACTTGACAAATTTTTTTCAACTCAGTTTTACAAGAGATTAAATCACTGACTCTAACTGACCCGACTGACCCAGACAACAAACAATATTACAAACATCATTATTTATAAAGCACTGTCTTTACGTTGGGTCCAATATTTATAGTGGATTTTATAAGGTCAATTTCATCCTATTGGCTGTTTTCAGCAAATGATTATTCTGACATTACTCATGTATGGGTCAAGGCCATGGAAGAGCACATAACTGAAGATTACAGCTGTGCATTAGCTTGGGTTGTAAAGCTGATTACATGGGAATCATAAGGTAAGTAGGGTTGGTTGTTATATTGTTCTCTTAAAAGCATGTTAAGTAAGCAGGCTGAGTACACAGTAGGATAGCAGTCTTAAGTGACCTTAAGGTTTATTATTAACTATGGCTGTGAGGTTCAGCAAAAGCTTAGAATGTAAGGAATAAATTTATCTTTTTTTCTGAGTAGCCCTGGCTGTCCTGGAACTCACTCTGTAGTATTCTGGCTGGCCTCAAACTCAGAGATCCACCTTCCTCTGCTTCCCAAGTACTGGGACTAAAGGTGTGCACCACCACACCCAGTGAGATATATTTATCTTAATGCATTGCCACACATAATATTTCAGATAAGGAAACCCTGAATGCTCAAGATTTTTTTAAATACACTCTTTAAATTTAGGAGTGATTGGACATAACTGGAACAGACAGATTGCTGCCAATTCTGATTTTGTTCAGTTAATTCTAGACACTTATTAATTAATTAGCTGATTCATTGGCAGACACTTGCATTTCCTGAAATGAAGTTGAACGTGATTCATAATGTCTACTGCAAATAGGTCAGTGTGTGAAGCATACACATTTTAAGCTGAGGTCGAAAGGAGTTTTAAAAACGCCTTTGTTATTCTATGAATAAAAGGAAAATGCATAAAACATAAATGTACAGTTAAGGAGTATTTACAAAAGGGAAACTTGT